TAGTTAGGTATGATTAAACCCTAACTTCGACAAAAACCGCAGGGAGAAATGACCATTCGACTCTATCATAGGTCTTTTTCATGTCAACCTTTAGAACCATTTTTCGTCAATTCTTAATTTTCACATTATCTTGTGCCCTAGGAGGACATCCTCCACAATTTGTCTTTCTCAGATGAATGCATTCTTCTGCCCTTCTGAGATGATCTGTGGGAGAATTTTGGCAAGCCTTTCTGTCATGATCTTGGTGATAATTTTATACACAAACTGGCATAAGCTTATCGGTCGTAACTGTCGCATGAACTCCATATTATCCACTTTAGGGATCAAAGTAAGGCAAGTATGATTAAAATTTAGTAATATTCTGTTTTTCGAAAGAAGGAACAGACAGGTTCAACCACTAACTCACCCAAAATGTCTTAAAAGGATTTAAAAAACTTCCCAATAAAACTATCCGAGACTGGCGCCTGTTTCGATCCCATAAAGAGGAGGGAAAATCAAAAGAAGCCCATGGAGCATAAATAAGATCACCCATCACAAAATGGAGAGCGCTAGGGGTGTTCAAATGGTTACCATGGTTATAACCAAACCAAATAAGGCTAAATTCCATTAACCATGGAATACAATATCATAACCAAACCGTCCAAACTAATACAACAACCAAATTAACCAAACTAAAGTTTAATCGGTTTGGTTAATTGGTTAATCAGATTAACCAATATAAAATCACATTATCATTGACGATGAAAATTTTTCGGTTAATGCAACAATTCACAATTTATATAATGAATAAAACATAACAATCAACACGTAGTTATAGTTGACCCTTAACAAAAATACATGCAACTAAGACAATTATCTTACGATTAGTATAAAAGTATTCACCAAACAAAAAATTATGACAATGATATGGGTTAATGAATTGTTGTGTTTGTGTAAATTGACTTAATCTCTTAGCAATTATCATAGGCTGGAAATGACATTCCTTTCAAGTTTTCCTTCATCATAATGTATGAAATTTATCTAAATTAGGCGTCCATATGTTGTGGTCTAGACTTTACATATACAAATATACACTATATGAGCAATATTGAGCTTTATATTTTATGAGTCTAAAAGGGATGAACGTTAACTCTTGAGTGGTTATGCAAAGTATTATGTGTATATAATATATGTTAGATATATGACAAATTACTTAACTGGTTAATTTGGTTTGACTGGTTAGGAGTGTTTGAAACCAAACCAAACCACCTAAACCAAACAAGCTAAAAACTTTAACCAAACCAAACCAATTATCCAAATTAATCAAACCAAATTATCCAAATAGTACCGGTTAAAACGGTTACCACAGTAACCAAACCGTTTGAACACCCCTAGAGAGCGCCAACCATTATAGATAAGGAGCGTCCTCTAAAAATCCAAAATGGGCGCGTGGCAGCGCCACAAAGTTCCCGATATTGTTTAATCTCACAAAATCAACCGAAACGGAAGTAACAGACCCACTCTCGCCTTTCTCTCTCCAGTACCTAACCGTTAAACGAGAGGACGCGTTGAAGAGAAAGCCGAGAGGGAGACGCCATGGCCACTGCTTCTTTGTGTTGTTCTGCTGGGGTCAATGGATTCGATGGAGGCCTTCGGATTCAAAGGAGCTACCTTCTTCAACCAACTTCCCTTCCTGTTCCCAGGTAGTAACTTCTCGTCCTTTCCGCCCCTTCTCCGATTGAATTTTAGTGAGCTTGCTGTCATTTGCTGACGTCCATCCCTGATCGCGAGGCGAATTCTGGTCTGTTTGGGCGGAACCTAGTTCGTTCATAAATGTTTTCTTGAAAATCGGGGTTGATTGAGTTATGGAGGTCTCTCTCTGCTGGAGAGCTGTTTTATTGGGCGGTGGTTGAGGTGGAATTGTGCTTAGTCGAGCTGAAAAGGAAGTCAATTAGTCCAAACCTGGGGGTTTCAGGATTGTACTACGTTCGCATCAAAATGGGCTGTTGCAAAGCATGATGTCTAAAGGTTGAGCATGATGTCTAAAGGCAAAGCATGATGTCTTCGGATATAGAGACTGGATCCTATCATTGGATAATATCCATGACCCTCTTTTGAATACTTGTCTTCAGAATCTTTGACTAGTTATCTTTCCTAACTGCTCCGAATTTTTGCAGTTTACTATCCTGTATTTAGGCAAAATGTGTGAAATTTTATTGCAGGAGAAAAGTTCAGACAATAGTGAGGGCTACTTCTCGGGTTGATAAGTTCTCGAAAAGTGATATCATCGTTTCACCATCTATCCTGTCTGCTAATTTTGCAAAGTTGGGAGAGCAGGTTACTAATTGCTCCTTGCTCTTGCTATATAAGTGTTAAGTCTATTGATGTTATGATCAGGCTCTATGACTAAATGAATTCGACAAATAAATTGGAGGCTGGAATATGAATCCCTGCTATTGCTGCAGGTTGCAGATCCATTTCTGTTCCTGCGCAATGTCTATGGTGCTTGCTCTTTTAAAGTCGAATTTTGTACATTTGTCTAGGTCAAAGCTGTTGAGGAAGCAGGATGTGATTGGATCCATGTTGATGTAATGGATGGTCGTTTCGTGCCAAATATCACAATTGGACCTCTTGTGGTTGATGCTCTGCGCCCTGTGACAGATCTCCCCTTAGATGTGCACTTGGTACCAAGATATGCGGCGTATCCATTTTGTTTTTGTCAAATCAAGACAAAGTCCAATTTTCTCACTTACGATCGTCAATACAGATGATTGTGGAACCTGATCAACGCGTGCCAGATTTTATCAAGGCTGGGGCTGACATAGTCAGCGTTCACTGTGAACAATCTTCCACCATTCATTTGCATCGTACTGTAAATCAGGTAATTTATTTATCTGCTTTCAAGTGTTGGGGGAATGGGTGTAAGATTTTGCCAGATATGTCTGGGATACTTGAAGTAGCTGGACAATTGCTTTATTGATTCTCTCAATTTACTGGTTATCAAGGGGTTAGGTAATGGTAGCTAAATCAAGAAGCGCACACTCTTAGTACCGGGCAATCCTTTGTATAGTACTTCACATTTTTCGTCTTAAGAACAAGAAAAGTACCAACCACCACACAGCCCATGTATCCCCCCCCCCCCCCCCCCCCCAACCACCACAAACCCAAAAAAAGCCTTAAATTTTTTGTCAACGTATTAAACCTAGTTCTCCAATCGCTGTAAACTCTAAAGTTAGATGCTCACGCTTACTCTCCTTTTCGTTTCCTGACCTTGCTCTTTATTTTCACATATTTCATTAGTTGTGGTATTTGCTCTGTTAATTTTCCGTTCTCGTTCGAGTAGATAAAAAGCCTTGGAGCCAAAGCTGGAGTTGTCTTGAACCCTGGAACCCCTTTGAGTGCTATTGAATATATTCTTGATGGTGAGTGTCGATGACCTCCACTACTTATGGCCTTGAGAATACTCTTTTTCTCATGCATCACATGTTGGTTTGACGTGCATAATTTATGTTTAGGTAATAGATCGGGCTGGTGGGGAATTAGGGAAAAACTAACCCACCCTGCATATGAAGGGTTGAGCGAGTGTTCATCTATAAAGAAAGTTTAACGAAGGTGGTGGTCCTGGTGTTATCAAAATTCTGTGTGTTGCATTTATCTTAGGTTAAGTGATTTAAAAGTCCAGCATGTCCAGGGATGGGAAAATGCACTTAGAATAACAAAAGTGGAGGATACACTGAGAATGAAGGATAGCAACATGCATGTAAGCTTATTGGATTTGGTATTGTTCATATCACAAGCAGATGTGGATGCTGCTGTGTGTAGTGGCTATTTTTCATTCAACCTGAGTTAATCCCACAAATGGAAGCCCATAACTGTTCCTTAGTATTGTGGGTGTATAGCATCCTGATACCCTAATGGGTGTTGGTTTGCAAGTAGGATGCACGAAACGAGCTCAGTATGTGATGCATGTTGACGTCTCTGTGTAGCAATTCAACGAAGCAGCTATGCTAACAAGCGTGATAAACTTTAAGCAACTTTAGCTACTGAAGAACCACTGCGGTCCTTTCATTTGGTATTATAGGCAATTCGATGTTACTGATGAACTAGATCTTTGCATGTTGACAGTGGTTGATCTGGTCTTGATCATGTCTGTGAACCCTGGTTTCGGTGGGCAAAGCTTCATTGAGAGCCAAGTACAGAAGATTGCCGACTTAAGGAGATTATGTGTGGAGAAGGTTATCGTCACTTTCCTTTTGTACAGATTAAAGTGTATAATATGTGCTTGTGTACATAAATTTTGCTGGCATTGATTCCTTCGGCTGGTAATTAGCTCATGCGATCGTGTATGCAGGGAGTAAATCCATGGATAGAGGTTGATGGTGGTGTTGGTCCCAAAAATGCTTATAAGGTACTGAATGGAGCTCAAATCTATTTTAAGTCTGCTAGGCAATATCTGCATGTCAGAAGTTAAAATAATTGCAGAATGCTTTTTATTTGTATCGATTTCTTTCGCACCACGGATCAGTTCCTAAAAGGTCGTTCCAATGTGATCTCAGAAGTCAAGCATGATGATGTTATACATCCAAATAATTGAGTTCTCTCCCTTCCATTCCATTACTAGCTCATCAGTACCATCGGTTTTCAATTTCTTCTCTGGAGAGTCGAGTTAAGTCTATTTGTTGACTTAGTCCACAAAATCCTTTATGGTGGGCAGGTTATTGAGGCTGGAGCTAATGCTTTGGTTGCTGGTTCTGCTGTTTTTGGAGCCAAAGATTACGCTGAAGGTATGATTGTATTAGCGAGCAAGTTCATTTTTCATCTTACCTTCTTATTTGTTTTATGTCTCAAGTTCTTCAACACTTAACAATGGTAGTCTGCATTCTGCACAATTGGGATTTTTTTTATAGCTATAAAAGGAATCAAAACTAGCACAAGGCCAGTTGCAGTGCCAGCATGAAGTGGGATCGCCTGAATCAACTTGATTGGTTACTGCTGGGAAGCTTCTTTGTGTTCGTACGTAGGTTACACTTCCGTTTGTTCTTCAGAGGGCTGGAATCTCTGATCGGCTTCAAGTTTGTCGCCTTCTGTTCATATTGCTGATTGAGTCGGTGTATAGTGATAGAACCATTATGAGAGATTTTTAATCAAAAGCCATGGTGGTCATTTTTCTATTTGCAGATAATACGCACAGCACAGATATAGGTGGCAGATTATTCCTATCCCCCCTTTGGTGTTAGATGATCAATTGTCCGCTGGCCTGGTTCCATGGTGGGCGACAGCTAGAATAAAAAAGCATAAAGACATCTTGTTGGCAATAATTCGTGCCGCAAGGTATATTTGTTTTGTATCGTTTTCGTAGCCTTGTCCAGTCCTCAGTTGCTGCATATTTCATGTCGCTCTGCTACTAAAACAAAACAAGTTTTCTATTGGCTTCTGTCATACTCTTGTTTTGACTTGAAATTCGCCAGACAGACGGGAAAATTAAGCCAGTATTGGTTCAAACTAAAGGTGTGAAATGCAGCTTTGACAGGCACAATTTGCGTTGTGGTCTTGAGCAGGTAGACACAGTTTAAACTGTCTGCATCAACCATACGAGTAGTGCTGACAGCTACAACTATAACATGCGATAAGAGGGTACTAACAATTATATTGATGAAGCAGAGTGTCAGATCCCGGGACACAGTAATCCTGCCGCAAGCAAAGCTTCAAACAACTCATTGATGGAAAATACAAATCTAGTTGCAGTTACAAGCAAACTCAACCTTCATTATTACTCCAGCGCTATCTCCCACCATATAAATATAGACATACAAAAAAGGAAGGATATTTACAGGAAAGCAAAGTAAAGCAAGCAAGCTAAACTATACATCCTGGCGGCAAACAGGGCAAGAGCCATGCCTTACGAGCCACTTATCCACACAGCCCATATGGAACGTGTGTTGACATTTAGGCAAACTTCGGGCCATCTCTCCTTTCCCAATATCCTGATGATAAAAGCCAGAGAGAGCAACGAATAACCAAAACAGGGCACGGATTAATAGCGCAACCAGCCACATTACACACTGTCAAAGTTTAACAAATGGAAAGGCAAAGAAGGGCGGACCTGGAGGCATATGGTGCAGAAGACAGTTTGCATCGCTTTGATTTCATGACACGGCAGCTTGTCAAGAAACTCTCCAGATAACCCTCTGGGTACCACTTCCCCATACACGTCGTTCGTCTCTTCATTGCTTATGTTGGTTACGCTCAACTGCTGATCACACACCACACCGCACCAGCAAGGATATTTTACTCATTTTGTCATTCGAAATAATTGGCAGGCAAAGCAAAGTTTACTGAATCTGAACCCACGAACAAGTCTGGCACAGGCAGAGTCATGGAAGTGGGAAACAACAAAACACAAACGGGGCAAAATCACCCAGCCCAACTTCATATGTGTGCGTCTCTAGAACTAACAATGCGGAAGTGTAAACGGCATAAAAACAAGTTAAAGGGAGTAAGCAGTAAGTTACCTGCCAATGGTAAGCAGTTAACATGGCTGGTGTAAGCTCATGATCAATAAACCTCCCCCGGAAAAGCTCTTCTATGAAATCTGCCTGCAACCCACCAGCACCAAGACAGCCATTTACACAATCAATAACAATTTTATATGTATAATAAACCGCCGGCAAAGACCATCCCAACAGTACCACTAAACAGAAATCTCAACTCACCATGGAGGATGGCCCTCGGGAACCAGACTGTTCCAAACCCCAGTAAGCGCGAGAAGCCTCCAACACCTCCACAGAAAGCACTGCACCAGCAACTGCACCCAGCCCAGCTCCCCGAAGTACTCCACAATCTGAGGCTCGACCAGCAAAAGCACCTGTGATTGCTCCTGTACAAGCTCCCGCTACACCAACCCAAACCCAAACCCAAACACCACCATCGTCAGTAATAGGCCAATGAATGGAACCCAGAAGGAAAGAAAGAAAGAAAGGGGGGGAATGAATCGAGGAGGCAGCCCGGAACTACCTAAAGCGAAAATCCCCGTCAGCGCACCAGAGATGGCTCCAGCCACCAACTTGGGAACGCAATCGAGCACTCGATTCCCCTGGTATTCAACTACGCCGCCTTCCATCACCGTCCAATACTGCCCCTCACCCGCCTCGCCGCCGCTAGTGCGTCCGCATACGCCGCAGGACTCCTCCGACCCGCTAACAAACTGGCTACTGCTACAGTTGTTGCAACCAGTCGCAACATCCATCATGAGAATAGAAACACACACCCTCCCTCCCAACAGAGGTAGAAAATATGAAAAGGGAACAAAAACAAACCAAGTGACAGAAAGAACCCTAATTTTGTCAAATCAACAAGGTTCGAAACTGAGATTAGAATTTGTGGATTAGAAGCTATTGGAATGGAGAGTAGGATCGGGATAAGGGGGGAATTGGAGGGTCGACAGAGAATTTCGAGACTCCGCTCTGGCGGTGGCCGGTTGGGAAGAGGGTCATTCTATTCGATATAATGATTTCTGTTGTGCCCTACATACTAAACACAGAAACCAACCAGCGCTGTCAAAAGTCGTGAACCAGCGGAAAAAAAAAGAAAAAAAAAAAACAAGACTTTAACTGTAACATCCCGAACCTTTTCCCGACAAGATACTGTCCGCTTTGGGCCCCTACACCCGCACGGATTTTGACTTGGGGTGCAATTCAAGGTGACTTCCCATAAGGTCACCCATCCTTGTTGTGCTCCACACTGAGCACGTTTAACTTCGGAGTTCTCACAAGAACTCCTCCATTACACCCCAAAACGCGTCTTGTCAGTTAAGGCCGGTTTCCTACTTATGAACCATGGATCTCTCCCGTGCTTTGTCGATGTGGGATTTGCCTAAGGTGTTACATACACCCCCCCTTGGGACTCAACGTCCTCGTTGAGGTTTGCCCCACCATCGTTCAAGAGGGACGCGGAGAGGCTCTGATACCACTTGTAACATCCCGAACCTTTTCCCGACAAGATATTGTCCGCTTTGGGCCTCTACACCCGCACGGATTTCGACTTGGGGTGCAATTCAAGGTGACTTCCCATAAGGTCACCCATCCTTGTTGTGCTCCACACTGAGCACGTTTAACTTCGGAGTTCTCACAAGAACTCCTCCATTACACCCCAAAACGCGTCTTGTCAGTTAAGGCCGGTTTCCTACTTATGAACCATGGATCTCTCCCGTGCTTTGTCGATGTGGGATTTGCCTAAGGTGTTACATTAACTGCGGCTACCGGGTGGATGCACAGATGCGACGAAAGTTTGTTGAATCGTCGGTTAAAGATTTCAGCTAACTTTTGTGGCGGGTAATTAAAGATCCCACTTCTTTCCTTTAGCAAACAAATCATGTAAACATGGTAAGATTACAAAATAGTATCGGAGGTTCTATAAAAAAAAGTTAGCTATAGAGTGTTTTATACTGAAATTGTGATTTAAGTATGGTTCAATTCTTTTATATCATTAAAAATTGTCTACCATTTAGTTTCCAATAAAAAATTTTCTCGATCAGACTTTTCAATACGATACAATTTTAATTGCTAGTTGTAGTTAAGAAAATGCTTCTTCTTTCTTTGTTTCATTTTCATCCTCGTGAACGAGCACGCTTTGCTCATGATGTGTATACGAAAAGAACAATTGTTTTATTAACCACCATAGGAAGTTACATTCTTAACCATCTAAAATAGTTATAAATTCATAATTACATTCTTCTAGTTAGCTAGAGAGCCTGATACGCATGTGAAATGGCGGTTGGTGGGGTTTGGTCTCTTACTAGCTCTTACTAACACTCCAACCAGTGGTCAAAAGAAACCACATATCAGCGAATAGTATAGTGGAATGAAATCTTAATGTCAATTCAAGGCCCTAGATGTACTATTACTCGGTGAACTGTCTATTGTCTAGCAAACAGGTTGTAATGCCGATTACTAAAACTAAAGTAACAAAGCAAGAAACTTTATTCTAATTCAGATGTGAGAAGATCGCTCAGGTATGTTTCCCCCTAATCCTTAGTTAGGCTGATGTTGTTTACTCCCTAGTTATTTCACTTGATACTTATACTACGAAAAGTACGAAATTAGTTTAGAATCGCGATTAAAGCATACTAGACCCTCTTGAATAGACTACCCGACAAAAAATTATCCTCAACTGGAATAGAAAATCAAGGAAATACAGAAAGACTCCCTCTTCTGGATTGAAATCTAGTGAAGAGTAGTGAATCGATTCACTATTTGCGCAATCAATTCACCACCACCAATTGATGGCACTCTATGAACGTAATAATATGTTCTCTCTCATAGGTCAAAACATGAATTGCAGAATGTGATCAAGATTCAAATAATTTCATGAACAAAACTTCCATTGGATAAATTGTATCAAGGTTCACAAACCAATGAGCCAACAAAATCAATCATAACACATGGAACTAGGGTTCTTCATACCTAAGTAAGAGAGTAGATTACTCCATAAAGAGAGAGGGAGAGGGAGGGAAGCAAGGCTCGAAGTAGTCATGCTCATAAAAAGGATAACGACCTGCTCCGGGATGTCAATCATCACTTTGAGGGATGAGATCCGAGTGCCAATGGTTGATTGAGGACTCCAATCAGCTCCAACGGGTGTTTCTCCATAACTTTCTCTCTCTAGAACTTTATTTCTGGTGTCAAAAGTCAGATCCCCTTCTAAAATCCCGAAATAAGCTATAAAACCCACAACTAGGTAGAACACAGACACAAAACACGACTGTGTTCCAGCCCATGTTCGTGTTTCTTCAGCACACACCGTTTACAAAGGATCTTGAGGGTGAAACACGGTCAGTCCTCTAGATGGAACACGACCGTGTTTTCCGATGTAGTATTCAAGAGATAAATTCCTAGAGGTGTATAGGGTCGTATTCCACAGGGCCTTTTCATAGTAACTACTCAAACCTAACCAATTGTATTCGATGTATGCAATGCAAGAAATTAAACCTAGATGGGGTTAGGTGCCCTCTACTAGTATACCACCCTACTAATGTTAGAAACAAAGTAAAGCAAGAATGCAAGCAAGAAAGTAATATTTAGGTAGCTCCATCTGGATGGTCATGCATACAATCATGTAAATAAGATGCATCTATACATCATCTACATCTACTATGATGCCATATCCTTTCCACTAAAGCCACTCTCTACACGTGCATGCACCTCTTGCGATAGAGATTTGACTAGCTAATCCATGCTTTTGCTTCATGACATCACCTAATTAATAAAGAATAAGGAAATTAGTAAAGCATATCATTAATTGTGGGCTTATACGAACCATAAATCTTGTCTATAGCATCGATGATCTAAGAATCAAAATCCTCCTTATTCATGCATAGAAGGGTA